GAAGAGAAATTTTTGTGTGTCATTATATATATGAATTTCTTCAAAGTGATTTAATGTAAATTGTAAAGATAGATGACACATAAAATAAGCTAAGTGGGTGAAGAAATGGAGCCCACTAATATGTGTTTATACAAAAAGGAAAGGAAAAATGGCAAATAAAGACTCCCAATGTGAAATTGCGATTTGGGACCATCAATTTGGAAAATGGCAAATAAAGACCCGGTCCCATATTATAAATATGAAATTTTGGTGAAATATCTAAAATGTCCCTCAGTCAAGTTATGATTTGGTCTACTGAAGTTGTTATTCGCTAAAGTGAACTTGTCATTTCCTACAGTCAACTTGTCATTTGGCATACCCTCAGCCAAGTTGTGATTTGGTTTATTGAAGTTGTCATTCGCTAAAGTGAACTAGTCATTTCTCACAGTTAACTTGTCACATGGCCAAGGGCATTTCAGACATTTTACCAAAAGTTCATATTTACAATATGGGACTGGGTCTTTATTTGTCATTTTTCAAATTAAAGGTCTCAAATCGTAATTTCACATATTGGGGGGGTCTTTATTTACCATTTTCTCATAAAGAAAAGTGATGGTATATTTAAGTAAAATATCATATTCAAATACAAAATTTTAATAATTTAAGCCTATGGGTCTTTCTACTTAAATGTCATTTTCTGAGTTTATGTTCAACTAATATAGAATTTCTTGACTTCTCAAATCAACCTATATTCAACTCACACTTCCCGACATCCAAAAGTGTTTCTAAGTAGTTTCATATCTATATGTTTCAAAATTAAAATAATTTTTTGATGATTTAAAAGCAAGACTATAAACTCCGCCTATGTTGCATGGCCGGTCCCAAGCTAGGGTAAAGGAGGAGGGTTGTGTTAGGCCCTCGACAGCCCACGTGAAACTCTGTCGAATCTTTTATGACATGGATCAAAGAAGAAATTGTGCTACTGCTTGGTCGTTGCCCGGAAGTGACGCGCTGTATGGCTCGAGTACAGTGAGAAGTGAGCAAGAGCCGCTGCATTGTCGCCCGAATGTAGTGTTAAATGATCAAGGCCTACCGTACTCTTATGGACGAAGGTAGTTAAAGAGGTTAGTTCATGAAAGCAAGATTAGGTTTGGCACTTGAAACGTAGGGACACTGTATGGTAAATCGAGGGAGGTGATGGAAGTAATGGGCAAAAGGAAGATTAATATTTTGTGCCTCGAAGAAACTAAATACATTGGAGAGAAGGCTTTCAAATTTACTAATAGATTTAAACTTTGGTATACGAGAAAGGTAGGCATAAGGAATAGAGTTGGTATTATCATCGATAATGAATGGAAGAATCATTTCTTTAAGAATAATTGTGAGGGGGGATACTATCAATGTGGTTAGTTCTTATACCCTCAGATAGGACCAGAAGACCAGCTTAAGGAGAAATTTTGGACAGATATGGAGGGTTTGATCCCAAGTATACCACTCGTGGAAAAGATTTTATTGGTGGTGATCTTAATGAACATGTTGGTAAAGAAGCGGGATAATATGTTGGAGCTCATGGTAGTATGGGTTTTGGAGTGCATAATAATGAAGGGCAAGCTATTATTGATTTCTCCCTCACATACAACCTCAAGATTATTAACACTTGCATTAAGAAGTAGTTGGAGCATTTAATCACTTACAAGAGTGGAACCCATAGGTTGCAGATTGATTTCTTTTTGGTAAGGAATCCTGATAGAAAACTTTGCACAAATTGTAAAGTGATTCCTGGAGATAGCATGACAGCACAACATAGAGTATTGGTTCTTGATGTGCGTATTAAGTGTATAAAATAAAAGCACTTACAAGTGTTAACCCCAAGGGTCAAATGGTGGTAGTTAAAGGGAGAGAAATGAGAGATTTTCAAAAGGACTGTTTTAAAGGAAAGGGTTTGGGAGCTACAAGAAAATGCTAATCTTATGTGAATGGAAATGGCTAATAAGGTCTAGAAGATTGCCAAAGCAATCTTGGGTGAATTGAAAGGTTGAGGTTGGCGAGATAAGGAGATATGGTGGTGGAACGAGAACGTGCAATAGAAAATCAGGCATAAGCGAGATTGTTTTAAAGCAATACATTTGTGTAATAATACTGAAAATTGGGAAAGGTATTGTGTAGCTAAAAAAGAGACTAGGAGAGTAGTAGAAGAAGCTCATGCTAAAGCTTTTGAGGAGTTCTATAAGGATTTAGGGACTAAGACTTGGGAACACAAGATTTACAAGATCGCGAAGAATAAAGAAAGAAAAACAAGAGATTTGGACCAAGTAAGATATATAAAGAGCGAAGAAGGTAGAGTTTTGGTTACTAATGGTGATATTAAGGATTATTGAGAAGCCTACTTTTATAAGCTATTTAATGATGGGAGCGAAAGAGCGACTATTGAGCTTGATGATTGACAATTAGAGAAGAGGAACATAATTTCGCTTTTTATTGTAGAATTTGAGTTGATGAAGTTAAGGTAGCTCTCAAGAAAATGGAAAACAATAAAGTAGTTGGACTTGATGGCATTCCTATTGAAGTTTGGAAATGTTTGGGTCAAAGTGGGGTGTTGTGGCTTACTAAGTTATTCAATGAGATTTTGCACTCCAAGAAAATGCCTGATGATTGGACAAAAAGTACTTTAGTACCTATTTATAAGAATAAAGGGGATATTTAGAACTATACTAGTTACAGAGGGATTAAACTCATGAGCCATACCATGAAATTGTGGGAGAAGGTGATGGAACATAGGTTGAGATTGGAGACTAGTATTTCTGAAAACCAATTCAGGTTCATGCCAGGAAGATCAACAATAGAAGCGATTTATTTACTGAGGAGGTTAATGGAAAAGTATTGAAGCCATAAAAGAGACCTACATATGATTTTTATTGATTTGAAAAAAGCATACGACCGTGTGCCTAGAGAAGTGCTTTGGAGAGCCTTGGAGAAGAAAGGTGTGCGTGTCTCTTATATCAAAATCATACAAGACATGTATGAGGGAGTCACAACTAGTGTTAGAATGCCAGGCAGTGAGACAAAGGACTTTCTTGTAAGGATTGGCCTATATCATGGATCATCTTTGAGCCCTTATTTGTTTAATCTAGTTCTCAACGTTCTAACTGAGTATATCAAAGAAGAAATCTCAAAGTGCATGCTTTTGCTAATGATATAGTTCTATTGGCTAAGACAAGAGAAGAGATTATTGCTAAACTTGAGACATGAAGAAGAGCCTTGGAATCAAAGGGTTTCCATTTGAGTAGAAGCAATACAGAATATATGCACTGCATTTTTTATAAGAGACAAGTTAACACAGAGTTGGAGGTCAGATTGGGAGACCAAGTCATTCCACAAGTGGAAAAGTTTGAATATTGGGATCAATTATACAAAAAGATGGTGAAATTGATAGAGATGTTAGTCACAGAATTCAAGCTGGGTGGTTTAAATGGAGAAAAGCGACAAGAGTTATCTGTGATCGGAAAGTACCAAATAAGGTCAAAGAAAAGTTTTATCGTACTGCTATAAGACCGGTAATGCTATATAGCAGTGAGTATTGGGCTTTAAAGGGACAACATGAACATAAAATGGCAATTGGTGAGATGAGAATACTGAGATAGATGTGTGGTCATACAAGAAAAGAAAAGATCCGTAATGAACATATACGAGGAAAAGTTGGAGTAGTTGCTATTGATGAGAAAATGGTAGAAAATCGATTGAGATGGTTTGGTCACGTGCAAAGAAGGCCTTGGGACGTGCCGATAAGAAGAGTTGATCCAATAGTATGGAGTCCTCTAAAAAAGAGTAGAGGAAGACCGAAGATAACGCATAATGAAGTCATTGAGAGAGATCTTTTAATTAACAATTTATCCAAAGATTTGGCTTTGGATAGGGCTTAATGGTATCGTGTGATCTATGTAGCCGATCCCACCTAGTGGGATAAGGCTTTGTTGTTATTAAAAGTAAGACTATATATATTGATTTTCTTAAATTCATTTAATACAACCACCAATCCTAAATATAAGATCTAGTTTGTAATACAAATTATATTACAAACTACATCTTATATTTAGGATCAGAGGACAGCCTAATTTAATTTGTCGTGTAAGAATATTAAAACTGGTATATTGATATAACGTAAATAGATATGATAAAAACAATTAGTACGTACCGAATTCATGAACATCTTCAATATTCTATCATTCAAATCCCCTTTCCAAGACCAATTCTCTCTTTCTGCATTGATCACAACTACTTGTAGATTTAGTGCAGTGTCTACCTGGTTGCAGAATTTCGTCATCCTTAGACATTTAGTCACTACCAAATTTTTGAGTGACACTACTGCAAAAAAGAGCTTTCATTATGCTAGTTGAGACTAGCAAAAGAGCTTTGATGAGGCCAGACTTAAGAACTCCAATCTACCAAATCTTCCCACCATGTGACTTGGAAGCACCGTCATAAGATCATTGCAATATCGAATAGATATAGAATTAAGACTAGTAAAAGAATCTTGGCTAGATTCTCTAGGCCATATAGTTGTCTACTGGTACATTCGATGAAGATGGATTTCCTCCAGCTTGGGAAACACGCAAACTTTCTATAGTACAAATTAATTAAGCATTAGGAAACAAATTCAATATATCCCATTACATAATCACACTTTGTAAAGGCAAACTTAATGTAGAACAAGTTATCAAGTACTACTCCGGTCCTAAATATAAGACCCATTTTATAGTGTAAATTATACCACAAAATAGGTCTTATATTTAGGACTGGAGGAGTACCAAATAGTCCAATTTATTATGCCAACTTACTCGTTGCTTCACGCTCATCTTCATCTTCATATTTAAATACTTCCACCATCTCCTCGCATTCACTTATAGACAAGCATTTGAGTTTTGTCATACTCTTAACCATGGAGAATGAAAATAAATATTCTATAGGATGACAATTTCCCACATTCAATTTAGTCAAAATTTTAAAGGATTTTGATTGGTTGCTTACATCTTCAAGGGCATTGAAGACAACTCGAAGCTCTCTAAGCTAGGAATCTCAACCTACAAAGACAATAATATATGTCATAGGAACAACTCAGATAGCTTTTTGGAAAGTTTAGGCAAGAAAGTAAAAATAGGAGGAATGTCAAAAAAATATAGGTTTTGAAGATGTTGAAAATTTAACAAATAAAGCAATATGCAAGATAGTTAAAGAGTAATGCATAATTTCAAAATATTTTAAATAATATGTGTATATAAAAATCATAGTTGAAGAGACATACTTGTTCAGTAAAGAGAATAATGTCATCATTTAGACCTTGATCATTGGAATAAACTCCAGTAAAGTTATATAAATGAATCAACGCTAGTGAGCGTAATTTTTGAAAGTTATTGATCTTTACATCATGCTCTTCCTTAGGAACAATAGTCTTCATGAACTTGCAATCTGAAATGTCAACTATTTCCAGGCTTTTAAGGAGCAAAACCATAGAAATGGAGAAGACATTTTCTATTCGATCATAGAATTGGATCCTGACAACTTTTAGTCTTGAGAATGAGATGCTGCTAAGATTGGTACTGTGGCTTATTATTTTCATTTTGTTGCCTAGTTGGTAGAGACAAAGTGATTCGAGAATGGGGAAGACATAATTAAGGTTTAGCAACTCATTTGGATCGATGATGCATTCAATATCAGAGTTATGCATGATAGAAAATTCTTTCAAACATGGAAATCCTTCCAAATTTAACTCACAGAAAATATTCCTAACACCATTAAATTCCCCCAGTAACATTTTTTCTACTCCTCTATCTGAACAACATCTTCACACCTTCATGATAGTGAATAGCATTGCATTCTTTTTTCTGTAATGGCAAAACTCTTAATGCTTCGTCCTTCACTGTGGAGATAGAAACAATGGGGAAAAAGAAGAAAAGCAAAGGAAAAGAAATTATTAAAGGGAATGGTACTTTTTCTAGCTAAAAAAATAATATTACTTGCTAAAACTAATAAAATTAATTAAATATTTTAAAATTAATGTGATATGAAAATAAAAAATTTATTGAAATTGAAAGTAAAAAAATTAATTTATATCAAGTTTAATTTATTGGGATCCTACTATTATTTTTAATTAAAAAATTATTTATAAGCCTGCCTAAAATTCATGTCATGTTTTAATTTATCGCATTATGCTGGGTTAATCAAATTATTTAAAAGAAATATACCTATGCTATTACACACCTTTTATTTTTATAAGGAATAGATAGAATGATTAAAATTAGTGAGGTTGAGAGTACTGAACATAAATTACTAGTAAATTTTTGGCATCAAAATAAAAAAAAAATTATTAGCCCTTCTTTTAAATACCTAGTTGATTTATCTTAAACAATTTATCATACTTATCAATGCTTGAAAATACTATAACAACAAAACCATGTGTTTCATATGTTTCATATGTCTTAAAACATATGTTAATCTTTGTGTACCTGGCATATTGAAATCCCACATTGAAAATGTCTCAAAATCTCCAATAACAATCTTGTAGCAATCCAACTTGTTGAGGAACAGGTTCCTTGGTGGAACTATAGCATTTGGTAAACATATCTAGATTTTTCAACTGATGCAAGTGCCTTAACTCAGCCAGAACAATGTTCTCAGTTTGATTTTCCTCGCTTCCCCACTTCATATTTCTCATATACAATTCTTCCAAATTATACAAGCTTGACAATACATTAGGCGGAATCTCTCTAAGTTCCCAGCAATTGCTGATATCATGCAATTGCAGCTTACGTAGTTTGCCTAATTCAATGGGTAGATTTTCAAATCTAGATCCTGAAAAGCTAAGAATTCTCAATTTCTCTATCTTTCCTATGAAGGATTTGTCACCTAACTTGCATTGCTCTAAGCAAATCATTCTTAAGTATGTTAACCATCCAATTGAAAAACAAAACTCTGATACATCAATACCAATCAATATCAATGATAAAGGTTGCCTAGCTTGTTGAAAAAAGCCTTTTGGTATAATGAAAGAACGATTAAGGCTATCAACATGAAGAAATTTTAGACTAGGACAACTTACAAAATTTGGAAGCTCATCATTGATATCACAGTAGCATATAGATATACCATTATACTTCTCAAATTCATCTTTGTGAGGCCACTCTTTTAGTTCCCCATTTCGCATGGTGAAAAAATGCCACTCCTCATATAGGATTGATAAGGCACTCTCACGGAGCATATCATGCATGTGGAAATGATCATCTGAATAACTATCTAACAGCATACTTGAGTCTTTAAGCTTTTTAATCAATCTAAGTACTTTTTCACGAGTTTTCTTGACTGTAAGAAATCCTTCAAATATATCCACACCAATACAGTACTTCACTAAGTCCATAATTAGGGAATGATAACCTAGTTGAGCACAGAGCAAGAAAGTAGATTTTAGCTCTGCAGTTTCTAGATATTCAAAGCTTAATTTTGTAGAGAAATCTACAGATTCAGCCACCTCAGTGAATTCTTGTCGTTCAAGTTGACCAAGTGTCTCTTCCCACTGCAAGTAGCCCTTGGTCCTTAATTGTCTTCCCAGTTGTGACGATTGCTATGGGTAACCCACCATACTTGCTGGAAATCTTTGTTGTTAAAGGTCCAAACTCGGGAGGTTTATCAACCATTCAAACCATGTTCGTAAACAAATCCTCAGCCTCCTGGTCCATTAACCCTTCAGTGACAAAATCTGAATTTTCTTTCACATGCATTTTATCAAACACCATCTCTTTACTTCTTGAAGTCAACAAAATCTTGAGTATTTTGGAATTATTAGTTGCTTGCCCGTCAATAATCGTCCCTTCTTGTCTAGCAGAATTTGGAGTAAGATTGACATCATCTATAGGTATCCCCAACTTGTTCAAGTCCAATTCAGCCCATAGATCATCAAGAGCTACAAGAGTATTCTCCTTTTCCCTTTTAAATATATCTCTTAAGCGATTTGCTCTTCCACTCTCAGTTTCTTCATTTAATCCTGTACCCAATTGATCAGCTAGTTGGCCTTGAATTTCCTTTATGTCTAGATTTCTTGTCACGGTTGCAAAGATAACCACATCAAACAACTTATCTTTTCGAGCTCCGCTAGCCTCTTTTTTGACTAAAGTGGTTTTGGCCACACCTCCCGTTCCATACACCCCAACAAGTTTAATAATCGGATCTTTCAGTACCTTGGAAATATCCTTTGTAACTTGTTTTCTTGAGTTAAAACTTTCAAAATTAATGACATGTGAAAGGAAATCTATTGACATTAGCCGTAGACCAGAAGAAACTCCATCAGGGAATGAAGTTTTGCAAAGATTGTTGACTTTCTTTGACAATCTATAAACTTTTTTGGCTAAACAATACCTTATCCAAGGTTTAGGCAGATAACACACGATATACGGGAGGTGTTCATCTTGCCAAAACTTATCATTCTCAGTAATAATGGCATTTGCCTCATTCAACCATTTTGAAACATTTTTGGTAGTATCTTTGCTATTACGATATTCTTCATCAACCAGATGCTGCATCAGGTCTCTTTTTTCTTGGAGGTCCTTATGAGATTTCCTTAGCTCCTCAAGTTTGAACCCATACAGGAAATAACTAAGGAATTGTTCCTCAATTGTTTTCTCAATTGTTTTTTCAGCAAAGTTTGAAACTTTCTTTTTTAGTTTTCCTAAGTAAGAGTTCATAAATTCTCTTACAATAGGGATCTTCCATAATGATTCCAACAGCCTCCAAAAGCTGCAGAGAAAAAATAGAGTATCCATACAAGGGAATTAAAAGTTACCAAGAGAGAGCAACATTAATTTAACTTCGGATAACAGAAAAACCAAATTGAGGCATATAAGCATGGTTTGTCGTGAAATGTTCCTTGGAAAACTATTTTGCATAGCACAACGGATGCATGTTTAGCCAATTCAGCCCATCCACCACACATGCACTTCCGACATCAAAAAACCTAAGACAAAAAAACTGACTTGTTCAATAAACTCATCATTTTTTTACATGAATTCAAATTAGTTTAATTTAGAACGGACATTTAAGTAAGGATAATGCCATAAATAAAGAATGAATTGGGAGAATTTCTCATTTAATTTTAATAAATTTCAAAATAAACATATCATTTATGTATTGGAACAATTATTCCTACTAGGGTAAATGTCCAAAAATACCCATAAACTTTTACTCAAAGTGTATCCACCACTACTAGATTTTCTGAGGTGAAAGAGTACCCAAAAACTTATAAAACTAGAGCAAAAATGACATAACCGTTAAATTTGCATAACAAACCATTATTTTTTGCAGTGGGGCCCACACTGATGTTATGAAATTACCAAAATATCCCTAACTCTAAAAAAACAAAAAAGGATAAAAGTGCAAAAATGCCCATAAACTTTTAACAAAATTGCGCCAAACACCATATATTTTTTTCCTGATGTGCAAAAGTATCCATGACTGTAGCAAAAAACTCTATAAAATTTTTTATTACGCCATTATAATACTAATAATTTTATGGTTAATATATATGTTTGGTCTTATAAATTTACATCGAGTTTTAATTTAATCCTTTAAATTTATAAAATTTATTTGAGTCCTCTTAATATTAAAGCCATTAATCTCATTAAGGGAAAATGTTGATTTAGAAAATTTAAATGGTAACTCTACTATTAAATAATGAAATATTAATTTTTAATCTAAAATTTGTAAATTGAAAAATATTTAAAATAAAACTTAACGAAGATGTTGTCTGATTTTAACATCAACAACCTATCTTTCAATATATAAAAATGTTATATTAAATGATTAAACCTTAAGCGTACTTTATTAGCATTTAAATTCATTAGGTTAGTATTTTTCATTAGTGAGAACAACAGTGTTAACATTTAGTGATTGAAAATACATTATATATATTTTTAAGGAACTAAATTAAAACTTGACGTAAACTTTGTTTATATTAACCATAAAATATTTTGTATTATAATAGTATGATAAAATTTAACAGAGTTGTTTTTGTTAAAATTAAAAGAATTAGTTTGTTTGCATGGTTATGATACTTTTGCACCTAGAAGGAAAAACATACGATATTTGCCGCATTTTGACTAAAAGTTTATGGGTATTTTTGTACCTTTATCTTTTTTTGTTTCTTTGAGTTAGGGACATTTTAGTACTTTCATAACATTAGCGTGGGCCCCATCACAAAATGTAATGGCTGCTAATCAAATTTAACGGTCATGTCATTTTTGCCATGGTTTTGCAAGTTTATGAGTACTTTTGTATCTTGGAAAAGCTTGTGATGGTTGGTGTATTTTGGGTAAAAGTTTATAGGTATTTTTGCATATTTATCCTTCCTACTATAATAATATATATATTTTAAAATGTAATAATATGACGAAAATACTACTTTATCATTTTGTGACGGATCTTATAAAAAACAAAATTTCACTAATCTACAAATATACTTTCAACATAGATCTTGTCAAAACATTTTGAAGTTTTTGATTCTTTGAGATTAATGACTACTTCATTTTTTAAAAAAAGGTTAAGGTGTAAATTTGTTCCAAAATTTTTTACTCAGAAGTGTTGAATGGCCAGAAGTTTTTTATGTTACATTTTGCCTTGGAAGCTTAAAATCATAACAATATTACTCCCTACTATTAAAAACCTAATGTTGACCATTAAAATTTTTAACGGTAGAAGGATTATTGCCATCCGAGGCAAATTTGCACCCCAAAAAAATTTTCGAATACTTAACGCTCCTGAATGAAAATTTTTTAAGTAGATTTGCACCTCAAACCTTGGATATTACAACTTTAATTATATGAAATAATAGGTTTCAAGTGTCAGTGATGACCTGAAGATTAATGACTACTACTTCAAATAGATAGAACATGTAATATAATCTCCAAATGCAGGACATGAACATTTAGAGAGCCATTGCTTATTTTGAGCTGCAGTTTTCACATTATGAGAAGTACGGTAAAAGTGAGTGAGACTTACTAGTTTATGAGAAGCAGTTTGATTACTGTGTGCTCTATGCTGAAGAGAATGTTTAGTGAAACAGACGAATCAGTTTCGAAAATTGCTGGCAATGATACTGAAAAGCCTTAGTCAAAAGATCATCGTCGATCATTTCTAAATATATTTATTGGCCATTTAATGAAACAAGGGTAGTGAGATTTTATAATAAACCAATAAACTTAGTAGCTTGCTGAGGATCAATCATGCTTGTAATTTGACCTTCCATCTTCACTTGAGGTACTATCTTGAACGAGATGGCTAGACGAATTAAATTTATGATCATCAAGTTAATTTTATTTTAATGCATAACAGCAGTTTAATTTCATGAATGCAATATATAACTTAAATTTCGTTTAACAGAAAAATAATAATTTAAATTTTAACTCACACTAAGACATACTCCTATGAAAAAGGTAGTGTACATGTACACTGTGATGGAGATAGTCATTAGAGGACCAGAAAGTGAAGCATAGGAAGAGATCCAATTAAAAGCACTATACTGTCATCTATAACAATATTGAATAATTTGTTGTGTCCTTTGGATTAAAAATGACCTAAAATATCTTCACTGTATATATAACTGATTTATGATAGTTGTTATATATTTTAGAGTTAAGGTGCAAATCTATCCATAGAATATTCTGTCAATGACACTAGACACCAAACACCATGAACTTTTTGTTGGTGCAAAAGTACACATAAAGTTTTTAAAATGTTGGAAAAATACCAAGTTGGTTCAGTCAATTAACATTGACCGTTTAACAAGCATGTCAAGTAAAAGGTAACAGTGTAAAAATACATATGAAGTTTCCAACAACCATGACATTTTTGCACCATTTTGCATCATTTTAAAAATTTCATGTATATTTTTATGCTCAAGAAAACTTTATAGTGTTAGACGCTCATGGCAAAATATTTCTTAGGTAGATTTGTATCTTAGCCCAAATATCTAATATAGGAAACTTAGGAACTTATGCTTAGAAATATATATTTAATATAAGGCATTTTATAAAATTTAGCAATAGGATGCATGGGTGAAGAAGGTAGATCAAATAGAGCTAGGTAAAATTATATGAATAATAAAATCATTCATTAGTCTATGAGTTATGTAGGAAAATGGGCTAGTCCACCCTTGGTGGATTGGACCCAAGCCCATTAATTTTGGGACTCTTGTGCAAATAACAGGACATTTGGGTTGGGAATTGCGATTTCTCCTTTTTTTTTTAAACTGAAGATTAGAGGGAACGGTTAACATGAATGGGGTACATGGAGGTACTTTTTCCCTAATTAAATATCAATAAAAAAAATTGCCGCACGTATTCCTCTCTTCCCTCTCTCAACTCGTCTTCTCCCTTCAGCTCCTCTCTCTCCCGGTGTGCATTTGCTGTGAGACATCATATCCGAGTTCATCAAAGTAACCGGACCTCTACATGGCTATCTGAATTTGATCCATTCTCCAAATATGCTCAAAATCTTATATTGTATCAGAGCTTAGTTATTCTGCAGGCTGCAGAGCTCTTTTTGATCTACCAGGTATTTCAGACTCTTATGATCACTGAATACTTCAAATTGGGAGCCGTAAAGGTAGTGTCTCCAGATTTTTAAAGCAAACACAACTGCAGCTAACTCCAAATCATGAGTAGGGTAGTTCTCCTCGTGTGGCCTCAACTGTCTTGAAGCATAGGCTACTACCTTGCCTTCTTGCATCAGCACACATCCTAGACCCTTCAATGATGTATCCGTGTACAGAGTGTAAGATAATTTGGGGTCGGGGATAGTGAGTACGGGAGCAGTGGTCAGTCTCGTCTTTAGTTCCTGAAACGCGGCCTCACATTTTTCAGTCCATAGAAACGGCTGATCTTTCTTAGTTAGCCTAGTCAATGGTATTGCGATCTGAGAGAACCCTTTAATAAACCTGCGATAGTAACCAGCTAAACCCACGAAACTCCTTACTTCTGTTACTGACTTTGGTGATTCCCACTTTAGTATAGCATCCACCTTATTGGGGTCAACTGCTACCCCTCTTGTTGACACCACATGACCTAGGAAGTTTATTTCCTTGAGCCAAAATTCACACTTACTTAACTTATCATACAACTGGTGGTCTTTTAATATTTGCAACGCAATCCTGAGATGTGTCTTATGGTCTTCCTCACTCCTAGAATAGATAAGAATGTCATCAATGAAAACCACAATGAATCGGTCAAGGTAAGGTTTGAAGATCCTGTTCATGTAGTCCATGAACACAGCTGGGGCATTAGTCAACCCGAATGGCATTACTAGAAACTCGTAATGCCCATACCTTGTACGAAAAGCAGTCTTCGGTATATCTTCTGTTTTGACTCTGAGTTGATGGTATCCAGATCTCAAATCAATCTTGGAAAAAACTGTAGAGCCCACTAATTGATCTAACAAGTCATCAATCCGTGGCAATGGATACTTATTTTTTATAGTCACCTTGTTTAGTTGTCGATAGTCTATACACAAGCGCATGCTACCATCTTTCTTC